GACTTAAAACCATGAGGGTAACACAAGTGGAGAGGAGAGGTCAGGACTGAATAGAAAGCTTATAACCCTCCTCCCATTAAGTGTTAATCATCCCATGTCCCTGCGGCCTCTTCCTGAGCTTCTTTCCTCCTGCCAAAATTTTGTAGAGAAGATTATGGGCCTTGAATTCCACAGATGTGTGTGACAGGAGCGCTACCATTTTCTATACAGCCTTGGGCTAGTTGCTGTCTTTCTCTGAGCCTTCCTATTTCGTCTGTACCACACAAATAAGGCCTGTTACGGCCTATTTCGGAAAGGTTCTCATAAGGTGGAAGTGAAATATTAGCTGTAATGTACCAACCATGTTCTTTAGTGCACTGCAGACATTCAATAAGTAAAGAGATGTGTTACAGAACACAGCTTGAAGACAAACACTTTGAAACTCATTCTCAGGGCAAATGAAGTATTTCAACACTTTTCATGCCAATGCTCCAGAGCTGAAATCCTCTATGGGAATAATCTTCCTGGAAGGGTGGCAGCAATGGAAATAACCCCTCACCCCTCTGGGGCTCCCTGTTCTGTCACCCAGAAGCATCACACCACAGCATGGAGCAGAGGACCAAACTACTTCTTTTGTTTTTAGACAACTGTTATCTATTACACTAGGGAATAACTTCAAACCCTTATCAAGTAGGGAGAACCAAATAAATGCTGCCTGGAATTACCTTCCAGATCTTGGCAAAAATTTTTTAATGTATGAAAAAATACATTTCCATTTTCCAGAAGTAATGGAAAGTCCAGGGAAGGGCAGTAATATTGTATCAGTCACTGTGTTAGCGCTCTACATGTATTCCTTTGTTTCTTCCTCAAAGCAACGTGCACGGGAGACAGGGCTTCAGGAGGGTAAGTGGATTGCCCAAGATGGTCCAGCTTCCCAGGGACAGACCTGGGTTCAAGGCTAGCCTGCCTCCATACAAATTCTGCCAATCTCTCTGCCAACTTCACAGGGAACTACAATAAATACCACAAAAAGATAACTCTAGGTAGACCAACCAACTGGAATCTGAGTTTCATTGATCAGTGGGTCATCATTTCATGGATTAGGTGACTGTGTAAGAACCTTTTACACAGACAACCCCAGAGTCTAACCCAGCATCTGCACAAACCTGGTACCATAGACCAAAAGGTATTACCTGAGGGATGAGAGGCTCAGAATGGGTAGGTGACTGACCACTTTTTTCCAAGTCACCCAGGCTACTAAGTGGGGAAGCTTCGTTTTTAACTAAGCTCGTCATCCCTCAGCGATTCCAGTAAACCATACGGTCTTCTCTTGAAGCTAAAGTATTCAGAGACCCCACATTTGCTCCAAGTAGTAACCATAATCTGTATGACAAACACACCCTGAGGTGAGGAATCACCTCACACCACGTATGCCAGGTACTTTAGGTTATACTTCCAGGAAGTAGAAATTATTATCCTTGTTTCTTTTTAAACTAATGTAGAAACTAAGGCTCAGAGAGGAGAGTTACTTACTCAGAGAAGAAAACATGGCTACGAACAGCAGAGCCAAAATGCAAACCCTGGCCGGACTGCACAGTCTGCACACTTAGCCATGACCTGGAACCGCCTCTGCCTTCACCCTGCCCCTCCCCCACGACCCATCCAGGCCCCCAGGCTGCTTCTGTGTGGTGTGTGATGTGTGTCCCATAGCACCTGGCTCTCTCACTCTCTTTCTGGAGGACTCCAGTGCAACACCCAGCTGACACCGTCACCTCCCAGCTTTAGCTAAATGAAGAGTCTCACGGCTTGTGTTCTTGCCCTCTTCTATGCATCATCGTGAATCGGGACCTCGGTGGGGTGTTCAGCTAACTTCTCCCCAAAATGGGGGACACAGCTCTGCGTCAACCTAACCACAATGGCAGGCCCAGGCATTCTGGGTACTCTTCCAAAGGTAAGGTTTCTTCTCAGGCAAGACTGGTAACATTTTGTTTAAAACGTATCTTCAAATCGCAAATAAAACCATATTCGTAATACCAGATCAAAATGTAAGCGAAAATAAAAGAGCAGAGAGTCCACAAAATCTCTCCCTTCCCGGTCACTGAACTTGGTGAAAGTGAACAATAACGGATTATAGAAAAGGGACGCTGTCAAAAAAGTCCTTAAGAGTCATCACTATCTGCTGGGAGTCCGTATTAGTTTCGAGAGTTCTCTACAGACACGGGTCTTATTTAGATAACCTCTCCACTTCAAGCACAACAGAATCGATTTTCACACAGAGGTGAATCCGTTTATCAAAATGGATTATCAAAACAAGCCTCGGACACATAAACACAAAAAGAACTTGGACCCAAATTGGCACCATGTCCTCCTACCCACCCAGCCCCCAAAATACCAGGGTAAGCAGCAAGAAATGAAAACAAAAAATTTATATAAAAAGCTAAATAAACTTGAATCTTCAGTTAAGACTGGCACGCAAATAGTTATTCTGGAAGTGTAAAGTGTATGTAACCCTCCCTCGATTTCATATTTAAAAAAAAATTTTTTAATGCTTATTTTTGAGACAGAGAGAGAGCACATGAGAATGGGGGGCAGGGGCAGAGAGAGAGGGGACAGAGGATCTGAAGTGGGCTCTGTGCTGATGGCAGCAAGCCCAACGTGGGGCTCAAACTCAAACTGAAATCATGACCTGAGCTGACGTCAAATGCTAAACTGACTGAACGATCCAGGCACTCCTCAATTTCCTATTAACTGAAAAGAGAGGATAAAAAGAAATAGGCCTATATGGAAATTTTTAATTTAAAAAGGGGAGGGGCTGGGGCGCCTGGGTGGCTCAGTAAGTTAAGCATCCAACTCTTGGTTTCGGCTGAGCTCATGAGCTCACGGTTTGGCGGGGGGGGGGGGGGGGGGGGGGGGGGGGGGGGTGTCAAGCTCTGTGACACACACAGTGACAGCACTGAGCCTGCTTGGGATTTTCTCTCTCCTTTTCTCCCACTTGCCTACATGCGCACGTGCTCTCTCTCTCTCTCTCAAAATAAATAAACTTTAGAAAAAAGGGGGGAGGGTAGGAACATCCAAGTCTAAAGATTTTAGTGAAGTTATTATCATACAGTGGAACAGTTCGTAGCTTTTCACAAACCTGAGTTTCACAAAACAAACTCCTCACTCAGAAACACATGTGTACAAACTTTTGCCTGTAACTTCAAAGGCTGCAGACCCCAGGAAGCCTATCCTTGAGCCCCTGTTCAGAACCCTAGGAGTGGGGGGCCTCTGGATGACTTCTCAGGAGATCTGGTTTCTAGTGCTGGCCTGGCCACCTTGTCACCCTGATCCAGTCACTGCCTCTCCAGATCTCAGGGTCCCCCTCATCCATGAATGATGATCCTTCCTGACTCTATGACTAAAATTCTAGCAAAGTCTACTAACGTCAAGTAAGATCAAACAATTTAGTAAAAATCACCTCCTTGCCATTTTTTAATTGCTAACTTTAATCTCCTCCTGCGGTCCTCTATTTGAAGAGTTCCCCAGCTGGCTCTCCCTTCAAAAGGAGATAAGTAAAGCAAGTCAAAAAATCTTTTCCCAGAACACACACTCCCGTTTCCTTAAAGCCCTGATGCAACAGGTCTTGTGATGGCCTCGCCCAGCCCAGCGCACAATAAAGCTGCTGCAATCGCTTTATTTCCCCATTGGGACGGCCGTCCCCGACCAGCTCTGCTTCCCCGCAAGCCCCTGGAGCGACACGACCACGTTTGGAGGAACCATGTTCCGGCTCCACGACAGTAATACAGAGTTCATTGTTTCGGCTTCTGGAGCCGAGCTCCTCTTCCGAAGGCCGTGAGGCAAACAGCAGAGGCAATCTAATCACCGGCCAGATGGGAAGTACGACGGGGCAGGAACAGATCCCTCCCTGGAATCCGGTCCTAGGGCAGCTCAGGTGTCCAGAGCTCATCTGAGATGAGGAGAGCACCCCTCCTACGGTCACGGTGTCTGCGGCACCCATTAGAAAGTATCTGAAAAGAACCTTCTGTCTGGCTTGACTGGGAAAGTTATAACTGGGCAGGTGAAGGAAACAAGCAAACAAACGGAAAACCTGTTGACATAACAGTAAGTAGCGTTACATTCTGAAACCACCCCGCAGCCCTCCCAGACTCCCTCCCACCCAGCAGCAACAAGTGATGAAAAACAGAAGCACCTACGGTAAGCCTAACACGAGCACAAGCTCAGAAAATCCGGGAATATCCACTTAACTTACAAGGGTCCCTCGATTACCAAAGGACATAAATCCCATGAGGTCTCTTCTTGTTCAGATAATGTGGCCAAGAAGCTGTGATGCCCACAGAATGATAAAAACTATGTATTAAACACGACAAACTTCCAATGGGAAAGGCTGGCTGCTGTAATGCATTTCTTTCTCTATTTACGCAAGAAAGAGTTATTCAAACATTCTAACAACCCTCCTTCAAAGGGCTCTCTACAGAGAACGCCTAACAACACACAGGATTTCCTCCTGAACGTTCCCAGGACAACCTGGTTGCTTTTTCCTGCTCGTCAGATGAAGAGACTGAGGCTCTAGATTTTATGCATAGAAACTACATTCAAACCAAAACTCAGTGGTTCAGCATATTTTCTGCATGCAGTTAGGACATGAAAATATTTGTTTCTAATGAACCCCTCTGAGTCTTGAAGACATAACAGGAGGAAATGTATGGCAGAGAACGGTTTTCTTCTTGTACTAAACCGGGATCAACTACCTGCATGGTACCGGAATGCCCACCCCACAGACAAGACCCCCTCTGGGTTTTCAGCGGCACAGAAGAGGCGAGTGGCAGGGAGAGAACGGTGAGCCGACTTACGTGTGTTCTCCCTCGGGCAGCGAGGCCGTGAGCAGCAGCGAGCCGGGGAGCCTCCGGCGGAAGGCCAGGCACGGAGCTGAGGGCCAAGTGGCAGCCAGGTGCCAAGTAGGCGGCCCTGCTGCGAACCAGGGGCGGGGCTGGGGCGGAGGGGAAGGAAGCGGAAGAACTTACTCAGTTAGCAGCTGGTGCAGTTGGTGATACCCCCGCTCCAGGGCCAGGCTCACAGGTGTCGCCCCTTCCTGGTTGTGGATGCTGAGGGCCCCGCGGCCACCTGGCTTCTGCAGCAAGACCCACGTGAGCCTCAGCAGGCCCAGCCGCACGGCAAAGTGCACCAACGTCTCCCGGGGGCCGCCGTCTGCGCGTGGGGGGGGGAACAAGAGTCAGCAGGGGAAATGTGAAAACACAAAGCAACCGACAAGAAAGACGAGCGGCGTGAACACCACCATCTCCGAGGGCCTAGGACCCTCCAGTCAAACCACAGCATACATGTGTCATCGTGGGCGGGTACGGCCAGCTCGCAAGGGCAGACGGAGCGAGGCTGGAAAACAGTATGACAGACAAAGTCTCCAAAGAACCAGGCCATTTCTATGTTCTCATTGAACACATTTGGGCAATCAATTTATATGGATAAGTTCACACGTGTGGTTTCTTCCCTTAAACGAGGGGGTGGGGGAAAGAGAAAGGGCCGCCTCACAACGCGGGGGCCCAAGGGCAGAACGGTCATTGGGCTTAGGTGGATGTACCGACAGGTATAGTTACTTAAACACCCAGACAGGAGCTGGCTAGTTAAACACTAAAAACAGGTTCTGCTTGTTAAGTACACACAGGTCTTTTTATTCCCCTACATTAAGGGCAAATCAAATTGCAGACACTGCCAGCTTTGTTGTGTTACGTTTAATGAAAGAAAGAAATGCATCTCCAGGCACATCTCAGACAACGTGCTAGTAAGTTCCGAGAGAAAAACATGCGCGTGGGCTTCCTGCACTTGAAGAAGGCTCCTCTTCGGTACAGTGAGTCACGTCAAAGGCGGGAGAATGAGGAAGGGCTGTGGAGTCTGACAAGTCCAGGTTCAAACGTGGCCATCTGCCATCTGTGCGACTGGGTCTCATCCATGTAACCTGAGCTTCATCCCTGCACCCCCTGGGGATAGGGGCGCCCTCACCTGGCCTCCAGGGTGGCTATAACCGAAGGACGGCCGCAGAGGAATGCGGGATAGAGGCTGGGCGTAGCAATTACTAGTGCCAGGGTCCTTCCCTTCCCCCGCTCTCTCCTCCTAGACTTCAGGTTATGTTCCGGGTTCACTCACATGATACTCCTTCCTCCTCAGGCCGCCTCCTGTGCACAGCCCGAGGAGAGCTCCGGCCACTGCCCTGCGGGCTGAGCGATGCTCACCTCCAGTGGACACCACTCGGGCCCTCGATGTGAATGGCGCCCAGCTGCGCCTGCCTTCTGCTCATTTTCCATGGCTTCCTCAGGTCTCAACTTCTCCACAGGCCTGCATTCCTAGACTCCTTGGAACCCGGTGTTTTCTCCTGACCCTGAAGACCTCCATGCTCCTTATGTGAAGAACACTTAAGAATGAACTGTCTTTGAGGCACCTGGGTTAAGTGTTGACTTTGGCTCAGGTCATGGTCTCGCAATCCGTGTCCGTGGGTTTGAGCCCCGTGTCAGGCTCTGCGCTGACAGCTCAGAGCCTGGAGCCTGCTTCGGATTCTGTATCTCTCTCTCTCTCTGGCCCTCCCCTGCTTTTGCTCTCGCTCTCTCTCCCCTCTCTCCCATATATGAACATTTTTAACAAATTTAATTAAAAAAAAGAATGAACAATCTTTGAACCTGCGATTTTACACTGAACCTCTCTGGTTTCCAACGTCACGTGTTAGTCGAGTCTCCCTACCGCGAAGGTAAATTTTCTTAAATGCAAAAGCTATCTTTCATATCTCACGATTTTCCTACAGAACTACACAAACTCAGGAATGTACAGGGTGCTCAGCAGAGGCACGCAGCTGGAAAATGTTCACCACCCTGGAAGAAGCACTGCGTGCGCAGGTAATAATCCACACCTGAGAGCAGGTGAGAGGCCCAGACACAAGGGCAAAAAGAACCTTCACAGAAGCTCAAATATCACCACCTAAGTTGTGCCTCACGGCGGTTCACAAGCCCTCTGCTATCCTGGTCCAAACCACAGAGCTAACGAGGCACCCACCAGGAACGAGGGGACTTTGTAGAGACTGGTTCACCCAGCCTTGCTGGGTGACACCTCCCCAGGGCAGCTTTCTCTACCCTCACCCTTTCTGGTGGCAGATTTGCGGAGTCAGTTCAGTATCTCCGAGTCCCAACAACAAAGCCATGCACCCGCTCCAGCACCTATGTCCTCCTGGATCCCATTCTAGGGTCCTAAGGCAGGCGCCACGTGTACCAGTAGGTCGCCCCTCCCTGCCATCAGCAGATGACGAGAAGTGTACCACGTGATCAGGACCCGCGAGGTGCTGTGCTCTGGGCTAAGTACTTTGTGTTTCAATGCTTCTGAGGTTACCCCGTGAGGTCTCGCTATCCTCAGTTAACAGACAAAAACAGATTAATAACTTGCCCACAAGACTCAGCAAGATCTGAAAACCCTTCTGCTATATACGGTCTCCGTTAGTCCACCCTCTTTTTGTAAAACTCCAGCAATCATGCAAACGAGCTAATGGTGCGGTTTACAAAGCACCTTTTCGTGTTTTCCTCCAAAAGATAAAAGTTTTTACCCAACTATCTTTCGTTAGTTTTCTTTCCTTTCGTCTAAGCTTCAACTCCATAGTGTCTACAATTTAGGGTCAATCTCTATACTATTCTGTAATTTTTGCCTCTCATGCTCCTTTGTCCTTGCCCTCTGTATTCTGAGAGTTACTCAACTTTGGTTTTCAGATCACTAACTGCATTTCCTGTGATGTCAATGGAGTCCTTTGTCCCCAGTCGGAATTTAATTATGCTATGGGATTCTGGATGTCCCTGCTTCTTTTCAACCAACTCCCTTTTCCGTCTTTGCCCTCACTGTGATGGCTTTTTGAAGATGTAATTAAAGCCCCTAATCAGTTGATTTAATAAGGAAGATTATCCTGGATAATCTGGGTCGGTCTAACTGAATCAGCTAGAAGGCTTTAAAAGCAGGGCAGAGGTTCCCCCTGGAGGTCAGCCTCGGCCTGTGCTCGCGGGGTTCCGTCCTGCTCTGATCTCCCCTTCCGGATTCACTGAGGATGACAGCTTTGGCTCATCAGTGGGTCTGAGTTTGCCCAGGATCTTCTCCTCTCTTCCTGCCCTACGAATCCCAGGCTTGCTTAACGGGCCCCCACAATCATGTAAGCTTTGCCCTGCAATAACTGTAGATTTCTCCCACCGGTTCCGATTTTGCGGTGGAACCCTGATTGAGGGGCTTCCGGCCTAGTAGATACTCTGAACTTCTTTTCCTCCATGCTGCTTCCTTCTCTAATTTCATAATAGCTCTGCCCTCTTTGAGCTTTTAAAGGACAAATAGGAACTCTCTTCTAAATTTTCCATTGGCTTCTTGAAGAAAATTATACTCCAGGAGTCTCCCGTCTGAATACTCATGATGCTTCTCCGGTTCCTTTAGGCTGTTAATTTACTTCATACACCGGCTGGCTGGCTTTCCCTTTTAACCGTGCTCCGCTGGAAAAATCTCTATGGAGGTCCAGCTGTACCCACAGAGAAGGCAGTAGAAAATGTCTTCAGGCCCTCTTGCTACGTACTTGTATTTGCTGGATTCACCCCTCACGCCAGTCCCTCTGATCTGCAGAGAAAGCCAACGCGCCTAGTAGCCGTTCAGCCACGGTGAGTTCGCAGATGGCTGCAACTTGTGCACACGGCCAGTTTGCGGCGAAGCAAAGTGTTCAAGTGTTCTAGATTCTGGGAACAATACAGCAAAGACCACATATATTTTTCCTTCCCCATCGATCCACCCGAAGGCCCTCCTCACAGTACTCTCGGAATCTGTATCTCTGGGAACCCCGATCCCCATTCTTTCCACTGTTCGGTGCCGCCCCTTCGGTAAAGTGCAGCAGCACGCAGGGACTGGAGCTCCGCACTCCACGGAGGCCAGAGTGAGAGACCGGCTTTTCCAAAAGCGACACCTGTAACCCTGTCACTGAATCAAGGTTTCAGAGGCAACAAAACCGTTGGAGCTAAAAGCCCCTCCACAAGGAGCCGCCTATCCTGGAGCTACGTGAAGGCTGAGGTGCTGGTACCACCACCAGATGTGGAGAGAGGAGAACGCCCTGGCTGGCGCTGCACGGTTTTTTAAACCTGTCTCCTCCTTCTCTCCATCCAGATTCCCACCCACAGAGATGATCAGATCTTTTCATTTAGTGATACAGTCCTGTGACAAAGTAAGAAGGAAGCTTTCCCCCAGGACGGTTCTCCTCCCCTTCTTCCGAGCTGGTCTTCAGCGGGCCCGCCCTGTGCTGCCAGGGGGTCAGGCTGAAGGCAGGCTGGGAGGGTCGGCCGGGTGAAAACCACCTCAATTCACCACGCCCGTTAACCGCCAGGCACTGAAGAGCTGAGACAGGAAGTGAGACTTGGTAACCCAGAGGGAAGATCTCCTGACCCCACCATTCCCCACCCCACCCCCCAAATGCACCCTTGTTACTTGCGTTTAAGGCAGAGCTAAGGCCAGAAGGACAGTGTGAAAGCTGCTGTGCGTAACCAGAGACGGGGGCACGAAAATGCACAAACTCCCCCACGCTCACGCTTGAAGGGGAGATGAACTTTAGACATCAGTAAAAGCAGGGGCACCTGGGTGGCTCAGTCAGTTAAGCGTCTGTCTCTTGACTTCCGCTGAGGTCATGATCTCACAGTTCGTGGGTTCAAGCCCTCTATCACGCTCTGTGCAGAGAGTGCAGAGCCTGCTTCAGATTCCCTCTCTCTCTCTCTCTCTCTCTCTCTCTCTGCCCTTTCCCTGCTCATACTCTCTCTCAAAATAAATTTAAAAAAAAAGTAAAGGCAAAACAAAGCCTCATTCTCCTTCAAAGAACCTTTCTTTCTAGCGCTGTCCCGTTGTGGCCTCAGATAGGTCACGTTATTGTGCCCTACGGGGCCCATCAATGCTCTGTCTCTAAAAGGTTACCAGATATTGGTCACGCTATATTCAACACGCACAGCTTACAGACCAATACACACTCTCCCTGTGTTTTTCTCCATTTTACATATAAAGAAACTGGGAGGCAGAGACGAAGTACTTTGCAGGAACCCCTGCGGTGAAGCCAGGCTGTAAACAAATGGGAGTCCACTGCCTCTGCTCGTCCCATTTTATAGGACCAGGTCTAAACCAAGAGTTCTCAATGTCATGTTCATGCATGCTGTGGAGGGAGGCCGAGAAGCCCTGAAATACTATGTCAACTGTTTCAGGTGCATGTCTAAATGCACTTCTTCCTGAGGAGAAACCCAAGCTATTTTCAAAGGAGTCACGGACCCGAGAAAAGCTAAGCAGCACTGCAACTCAACAAGGAGCAGAAGGGTATCTCACCTGACCACGTTGTTCAAACACCAGGCTGAACAACCTGTAGATACCCCAGCTTGCAACCGCAAGGAGTCCTGTTATGTAACAAGGTGCCCTATTTATCTGTCTTATTCTCCCAGGCGACAAGCCGGCTTCGCACCTTCTTCCTTTAAGTACCTTTGCAATTCACTCATGTGAGCAGAATGTTCCTTTACATCCGTCCCTCAGCAGCAAGCAAGCACCTCTTAACTGATGCTATGTGGGCCCTTAGAGCACCCAGTGTTTGTAGATTTGAATCCACAATGAGTTGAACTTCAGCTGCAGAATGTGAATCGAGCACTTGAAATCAGGTTCCTGATCCTAGTTGTTGACTTAAAGGCATGTCTATCAAGTTCCCTGCATGCATTTCACCTTGCAAAGTATATACCTAACTTGTTCAATTTCCTTTGTTCTTTGAATTATTTGTAACTTACATTTAATAAAATTCACTTTACGGGGGGGGGGGGGGGAGGCATACAGTCTTCTGAGTTGGAACACAGGCAGATTCTTATAATCACCACCTCCAAGATATGAAACCATTCCAACAGCCAAAGAATTCCCTCAGGACACTCCTTTGCGGCCACACCTATCCCCACTCCTAGCCCTTGGCAGTTACTGATCTATTCTCTGTGCCTGTAATTTTGCCCTTTTCAGAATATTCTAAAAGTAGAATCACACAGTAAGTAACCTTTGGAAATGGACTGTTTTATTTAGCAAAATATATTCAGGTTGTTGCATGTATCCCCTTTATTATTTTTTTATTGCTGAGCAGCGCTTCACTGTATGGATGTTTCAGTGTTGGTTTATATATTCACCCAACAAGGGAAATCTGGGTTGTTTGAAGTTTTGAGGGATTATAAACAATGCTGCCACAGGCATATCTGTGCAAAGATTTTTTTTTTTTTTTTTTTTTTTTTTTTTTAGTAAATGTAAGTTTTCATTTCTCTAGGATACGTACCCCACTGTGGAATTACTGGGGCATATAAGAAATGGACATTTAAATTTATAAAAAACCACCAAACTGTTTTCTAGGGTGGCATATCACTTTGCATTCCTACGAGCAATGTATGAGATGGTCTGCACCCTTGCCAGCTTTTTCATTTGCCAGTGTTTTTCGCTTTAATTTCCCAGTATTTTTAATTTTATAATTTCTAATGGGTGTGCAATGGTACCTTATTGTGGTTTTAATGCACTTCCCTAAGTGTTCAAACCTGATTTAGCCTTTGCTAGCCCTGTTGGGCAATTATGTGCAACAGAAACTGAAGAAGCACATGGCAAGTCCACAAAAATATGAAAGCTGGCCAGTTCCCTGTTAGAGACGGGGAAGCTAAGGCCCAGAGAGGGGAAGTGATATGCCTAAAGTTTCAGACCTGTGCTGTTTCTAATTAGTTCTTTAAAGAAAAAAGAATCATGGAAATATGAACAAACTCCAATTCTTGCGCCTTCTTTAAAAAAGATAAAACCAAACCATAAAACCACCATAAGCCCCAGAAACAACTAACGCGATCCCATCCTGATACTGCTCTGCAGATGGCCAAGCAGAACACTCGTTCCCACACCAGCACAGAACAGCAGGGCCGGTGGTCTACAGCCTCAACACGCGCTTTCTGAAAAGGCGCCCGTGCTCCCCGTGATGGCAGATATGCTCATCTTTAGCTCTCAGCAATGAAGAGGTTCCCTGGTCAATATGCTAATTAGAAAAAGAAAAAAGAGGATAAATGCTTTCTTCCTTCATGTGATTTTCGAGTGCACAAGCTTTCTTTCTTGTCTTCCTGAGGCAGGCCTGCTCTGGCAGTATGCGGATAGTGAGCCCCTGCTAGAGGACACCATTCCTGCAGCCGGTCATAGGATGGAAGAGAACGGAAGCTGGCAGAGACCTCTCCAGCATTCTTCTGCGGGACAGAGAACACGCGTGTCTGGCGAGTCTGTGGGAGCAGGCACTGGGCAGGCCCCTGATGCAGGCCGCCACTGGGCGGCTCAGCTCAGGCTCTGCTCACCGGCAGAGAGGGTGACTTCTGGTCTGCTCGCCCTACAGGATACGATAATCAAAGCTGGGTGGCCACTGAGGGGCAGTCCTGTGATTGTCCAGCTCTTTCGGAGAGAAAGTAGAAAGACAATAAACCCCCCTGGCAGATGTAGCATTGATAAAATCCAAAACAGCTTTCATCAGTAGCAAAGCACACACTGGGATCTCTAGCTCCGTAACTCCTAAACCTCTGCAGCTTGATGTGAACTCAGGAGGGAATGAGGGTGGTGTTTACTAGACCTCAGCATATACTGTTTTGTCTAAATATGTATATAGGGGTGCCTGGGTGGCTGAGTCGGCTAAGTGGCAGACTCTTAGTTTCGGCTCAGGTCATGATCTCGTGGTTCGTGAGTTTGGGCCCCGCACTGGGCTCTGCTGACAGCTCAGAGCCTGGAGCCTGCTTTGGATCCTCCGTCCCCCTCTCTCTGCCCCTCCCCAACTTGCGTGCATGCCCTCTCTCTCTCTCTCAAAAATAAATAAATGTTAAAAAAAATTTTTAAATACATACATACATAAAATCATGACATCTGGCAGATGCCACGTGCCACACGACGATTCTGCAGGGAGACCCCTCTGAGTGAGAGGAACATGCACAGTCACTGCATCAGTGCTGGTTTAAAAAGTGGAGCCGTTCCTTCACTGACCTCTTCTACGGACAGCCAGCAGATAAAATCAATGAAGAGGGAAACTGCTCTGGATAAAGAAGCCCAGCGAGCTCTAGGGCCCCCCTGCCTCAATCCCCCATCTTTTCTTTCCTCCAACTCCATGGAGTCTCTAGAAAATGTCAGAATATAATACTGAAAAGCCTGTGTTTGGTAACTAAACACCAAAAGGACGACAACAAGTTATTCTGCCACAGTCCTCATGAAGGATGGGTCACTTTCTCCGCGTGGGAGAACACGCGTGGGCTCCGGACCTGCGGCAAGGGGACGCACGTGCCACCCTCTGCTATAAACGGGAACAGTTCTTTCTCTGCAAGAACAGGTTTATTGGCTCAGCTGGAGGATGGAGAGTAGATGCCCTTGAGGCCACAAGTGCAGGATGTACCCAGCCGCCGTCAAAGGCTTGAGGGCAAGGACTATAGGGAAGCAGCTCCCATGAAAACCTCAGTTTTCAACTGAGGTCTGTGTGTGCTCTTGGTGCGCGTAAGCTCTTACCATGCAGCGTCTGATCCGTCCCTAGCACGTTCCACTCAGCCGGCAGCTTCAGGTGTCTGAATGCCAGGGCGACCTTCTCATCAAGGGAATTCACATCCCCAGACGGGGGTCCTGACCGGTCAAGAAAACGGGTGAAGTTCAGAGCCTGCTGATTGCCAGCGCTGGTGGCCAGGAACTGGGCTGCATCGTACGCCTCATCCTGGACAAACCGGAAGTCCTGCTCAGCCACCACGAACACGGGAAGGCCGTCCTTGGAAGCACAGAGCTGCACCCTCACGGTCTCACAGCAGTCATGACCTGAAGAAAACACGTGCAGCAGAGAAGACAGTGTCAGAGCCTGCCCGCTGCCAGAAAGACACCGCTGGGTCCCCTCCGCTCTGCACAAGACCCAAGTTCTCCTTCCTAAAAGAAATGCCCCCTTCCTCCCAGCTCTGACAGCTCTCCTCCAAACTTCTGTCCGCTCCAGCTCCATGTGTGAACTGTTATTTGCAACTATCAGTTAGTTTCCTCACCACCAGCAAACAGCTCTGTCCCCCAGGTGTACCCCCTGGAGCGTAATGTTGGGCACAGAACAGTCACTGAGGATCTCCTGAATTATGTCCTGAATTCTGGCTGATCAACTTGAACAGAGGAAAGAACGAAAGCTCAAGGATCTTATAAGGCCAAGCCAGTCTGCTACCAATGGAATGCAAGTAGATGTGGAACCCCAACAGAGAGAAGGCCACACAGGAGGTTAGATGGGAGGAACTTTCTGGATTCCCCAGCACTTGCCCTATTACCATCACGCCACAATCGATCAAATGATGGAGCACTCTGAAGAGTACAAAACGACTTGATCTCATTTCACTATTATCAACAACTCGAAGCCTGCAAAATAACTTCTGCTCTCAGATAAACTCTTCCCTGTACTGTAATGACATCAACCAAATCGCCTGGTTCATTCAAGGATGATGCAATGCTGTGGCCAGAAGCCCAGCTCAGGGCAAGAAGCACGCCAGAGATTGGTGCCCACCGTCCAGACGGCCTGACCTCATGAGTGGCCACAGTCACACCACCACAGAGGGCTCCGCTCCAGCACGATCAGAGAGGTTTGAAGACACGGTTTCTGTGGGCAAGGCCCTCTTAGAGAATCAGACTCTCTGCTAGACTTTTAGCCTCACAAAATTAAGTATGTACGATACGCAGAATATAATCATTGAAACACACTGTTTTCCCTCAATGTCCAAACACTGATCTCCACTGGCAAGAAGTACGCTAACATTATCATTCTTCTTCCCTAAAATGTCTTTCTGATGAGAAAAACGGAAAGGACAATGGAGTCAGGTATTTCTGCTACATGCGTGATGCCACTTTGTGCTTCTCCTGATTAACCACAGGCACCTGCACACCCATGGTGTCCCTGCAGCCTCTCGCACACACTGCTTTTCCACAGTGGGCGCTGGGCCAAGGGAAGCCCTCCACACGGTCCACAGATCTGACTTTCCACACAGTGGCCACGGGCCAGGAGAGGCTTCAGACATGCACAGATCAAAGCTTTCTGCTGCTTTTGAAAGAGAGAACAGTCAGAGTGCCCGGGTGGCTCAGTCGGTTAAACATCCAACTTCGGCTCAGGTCATGATCTCACAGGTCATGAGTTCAGGCCCCATGCTGGGCTCTGTGCTGACAGCTCAGAGCCTGGAGCCCGCTTCAGATTCTGTGTCTCCCTCTCTCTGACCTTCCCCCATCCACGCTCTGTCTCTCTCTCTCTTTCAAAAATAAACAAGCATTAAAGAGAGTTAAAGAGAGAGAAAAAAAAACAGTAATTGTTTTTCCCACGTGAACAAGAATAATAAGTAAATTGACTTTCCACATACTACTTCCCAGAGGCCACCTTAAGCCCTTTACCCTCATCACTAAAGAAATCTCTCACTGCTCTGTACTTTTAGGGCAGTAACAAGTTTTACGAACGAAGTAAGTACCTACTATATGCCAGGTACCCGACATGGCATTTTCTCTATGTGACAAGTATATGGGGTATGTAGTGTCCTCATGTGACAAATGACAAAAAAGACTTCAAGAAGCAATCTGCCCAAGGTCACACAGATATTAAGAAGCAGGATCCATTATTCAAATTCAAATCTGATGCCCAGGGACGTGGCCTATTGTATTATGATGCAAGAGTTTGTCCTTGCCTGCAAGGAGCCTGATGCTTGAATGACAGGCCTGGATGACGGCAAAGCAAGAACAGGAAGCTCCTGAGCCACGGAGATGAGTGTTCATACAAACCCAGAACTCCACCAGCACACCTGCTGAATTCCTTCTAGGAAGGCCGTAGGAAACGGGAGCGCCATCTGCCTGGGGTGCGTGCGTGCGTGTGTGTGTGCACACGCATGATTGTGTGGACACCCACGTGTGTATTTCAATTCAATACATATGCTGAATTTATACTTTCAACATATGAAATGAAAATGAGAAAAAAGCCTTTACTTTGAAGGGCAGCCAGTCTAATAATATAAAACAACAATGTCAACAGAAACAAGTCCGCTGGTTCAGGTAGGAAGGCGGTTTGGGTATCTTTCTGGCAGAGCGGCTCTTCCAAACGGTTCTAGCGCATCTAGCAGCAGCTGGCTATGCATCGAGCCCAGGGCACTGTGGTTCCGACGTAGACACGAGTACGGTGAGGGTGCCGGCCCCTCCCAAGGCGTGCGGTCTGCAAGGGGAATCACACCTGTGGCGGGGAACTGCAAAGGGAGTCAGGAGGGGACAGGTTCTAGAAGACACTCACATAGTGCAACTAATGGGGAGAGAAGCGACATGTTTCACGGGTGGGCAAGAGCAGGAAGACTTCAGGGAGGAGGCGGCTGCTCAGAAGGACCTTTTGGACAGGCACCCAGCTCCCAGCTCTGCAAGCCCAGGAGAGCCCTCAGCACTCAAATGCACGGTGCCCATCTTCTCTTACCTAAAGACACTTCCAGAATACTTGCTATGTGCCTGGCTCTATTCTCTGTGCTTTCCAAGTAACGGTTTATGTACTCCTCACAGCAACCCTATGTGGTAGATACTATTACACCCATTGACCAGATGCACAAACCAAGGCACAAAAACATTAAGTAATTCGGCCAAGGTTATAAAGCTCCTCAAGTGGCAGAATTGGAATTTGAGCCCATTTTCCGGGTCTACAGTCTGCCCTTTCTCCCAAGATTTATTGGTACAAGACAATTTGGAAAGTACCGTGAAGGATCAGCAGGAAGGAAATAGAAACACCGTGCTCCAATCCTGGCTGTGACACTCTTAAGCTGGGTCACCTCTGATCACCTCTACTTCTCCAGACCTCAACTTCGTCATTTACAGCATGAGGGCATGGCCCCTGCAGGCCCCAAGGCTCTCCCAGAGGTAAAAGCCTGTGTACCTCACCAGGAGGAAGGTACACAGGGAGAGAAACTTATCTAGAGATTCCAAGGAGAGAGAAGAGTTTGAAAAACATAAAAATGGAAGCAGAAGGGAAGTACAAAGAATGGAAATTACAGTTTCGAGAGGACATTTACTTGATCACATCTGGATGCTCAGTGACAGCATAGACATGGGTTCAAACCTACTCTCCTGACTTCTTAGCTACGTGGCCTGAGGTAAATGACAGCATCTTTAATGCTATTAAATCTAGACAGTCTCCCAGTCACCTGGGTGGCTCAGTGGGTTAAGTGCCCAACCCTTAATTTTGGCTCAGGTCATGATCTCACAGTTGAGATCGAGCCCTGTGTCAGGCTTTGTGTGGAGTATGGAGTCTGTTTGGGATTCTCTTTCTCCTTCTCTCTCTCTGCCCCTCCCCTGTGCATGCACGCACATGCTCTCTCTCAAAATAAATCAATAAACGTTAAAAATCTAGACAGTCGCTTAGTCTTATAAACAAAGAGCTATAATTTAGAAGAGTCTTCTCAAATTCTTCAGTACCATAACCCAAAAATGACATCATACCTAGCCTAGATTCATTTCCAATTAAATAAGACAGACAGATGTAACACTGTGTATTTCAGTCAAAAGAATCACTTTCAAGTAAGAACAGTGCAGTTCTAATTCATGGAACCTCACTAATAATCATAGCATTTTTGACTTATCCAGGGTTAAGCTCATTTATATACTCCTCACAGCCTCTTAAGGTACAGATGAATAAATGTCAATAAACATGAAAATCACAATTTCAAAGTTCAATGATGAAAATGTGAATAATTTGGGATCCAAACTGAATTCTGCCCTCAAAACTTAAACTTGCTTAGAAGAGATCTTATACTACCTTAATATCCACTGCCCCTACCCAGATGAACAATCCTTATTCGTTTTTACTGGTTTCCTTCCTCAAGCCTGTGCCAAGATTGAAATCCAAGCTTGAACCAGAAAGGGAGTTACCATGCCTCTGATGCTAAATAGCGTCCACCAGCCTACAATCCGTCCAGATGGAGAGTTCATGCCATGTCCCAGGTCTTCAACTACACACACACACACACACACACACACACACACAAAGGGGTTTGCATGCACACAGAAAAGCCATGGGGAGAAGCAAGAACCTTACTCAAAACTGCAGAGAGCACAAGGGCAAAGTGCGTGGGCATCTAACTGGAATTTTGCTAAACCGCTGGTTTACTCAGCTGGTGTGGGCTGGGGAGACCCAGAAGGTGGTTCAGGTGTGTGGGTGTGTGGGTGTGTGCACACACGCACGCACACGCACACATGCACACACACTGTTTACTGGCAATTTTCTGCTGCTTTAGAAGAAATATGTTGGAAGGCGGTAGGTGGATAAACCCCTGGCAGCTCTGCGTGTACACATTTTTGTGTAAAATAAAACTGTGTATCTGAGGAGGCAGAGCGTCAGAAAAGGCCACAAAACAGAAACCCAGGAGCAGCTATCCGATTGTTCGCTTGACATTTTTCCTTCAGACATGAACTCACAGTCTGAAGAGGACTATGAATCATCCTATGTAAAATGTGCCATAAATCTGCAATGTTTGGTATGATGATAGGCTTCTTTTTCAAGGAGTGAAAAAGAGGAGTGGAGGGCCGAGGGTGTCCTGGGCGGCCTTTATGAATAACCTTGAGGACACTGGGACAGCTCCTACCACTCAGAAACAAGTGTCTCAGCCTATCGTCTGGAGTCCACCGCCCAGGGCTGGCAGGCTACTCTCACTCGTTCGTGCTTCCTCTTGTGCTCAAGTGGTTCTTAAGATTTTTTTTTTTAAGTTTATTTATTTTTATTTTGAGAGACACAGAGAGAGAGAGAGGGAAAACGAGAGCAGGAGAGGGGCAGAGAGAGAGGGGAAAGA